TGCCTATCTGAATTTTACCAGCCCATTAATAAGTGGTTAGCATATCTGCTGCTGTTTTTAGAGATTTTGAAAGAGGAGGAAGACTTGGTGGTAAATGTGTGGTATTCTGTAAAAATGAAATAGATATAATTAGTATCTGGCAGTATAATTTTTCTCTTCTCTCTTTTCCCATCTAGTAATATTTCATTTGACTTAGGTTTTACCTAAATCTGTGTTTAAACTGAATGCTCTTGGATGCTTTTATGTTTAGATCATGACTGCACTTTCCCTGTTGACATGCGGACGTGGAGGCCTGCAGTTGGCCAACCTGTAGTCACCCCAGTTAAAATGACTGAGTGGTACAAACTCTCTCGAATTACTGTAACTAATAATAGTGACCTTGTCGATATTTTAAGGGTAACCTGTTATAGGAAGACTATTAAAATAATGAAACCAGCGGATAGTCCCTTAATTAGCGCCATTGCAAGTGCTACTGTCACTCTAGTCTTGGTATATCTAGAGCAGTTGTTGTTGTTGTTGTTGTTGTTTGTTTTTTTGTTTTGTTTGGGGGGGGGGTCATTATTAAAGATTCCAGTTTCAAAGTGTTGTTGGCAGGGCAACCAGACTGCAAAGCTTGTTAATTAACGTAAGTATTATAATAGACATCGTGGGGGAACTGTCAGGAGAGAAGAGGCTTCTCAAATGGGTAAAATTAAAATTTCAGAGGTAACGTCAGAAAAGCCTTCTACATGATCGAAAATACATGGTGTGGCTGTAGTTTTTCTTCTCAGTTTCTCCTTGGAAGAGATGAAATGACTGGAAGACTTATTTAGAAACAGGCTGAGAAAAAAAGGTATCAGAAAAGCAATCCCTGATGCTGTGGTGACTGTGGTTGGGTTTAGGTGACAGGCTGCTGACCGGGTGGGGGAGGGGAAGTCACTGAGTGAGCAAGGGTTCTGGATACTCTGTTGAAAGGTGGCTAGAGGTTGAAGGAAGAGAAGAATAAAGCGAAGAAGGTTAACAATTACAAAATAAAAAGAAAGATAGAGATCTTAGAAATGGAAATGATTTGAAAACGTTATTTTACAATTTGCCACGTCACTATATAACTTGAATCTTATGCCTGGTAGTCATAAAGTAAACAACCCAGTCTTGAAATTTTAAAATAAAAACCTAATACTAGAAACACAAAGAGAAGATACGGGTTCATAGTGGGAGATTTTTATAGATCCTTCCTGGAAATTAGGTTAAAAATGTAAGATACAGGGAATCTGAATGTCAGAAAAGCTTGATTTGATAGATTTGTAAGTTTGTATCCAAACTTCATAAATATCTAAGTTTTATAAATATCTATGTATTTTAAAGTTGGCAATAGGCCACCCATGCCAAAAAAGAAAACAAAATATAAAAAATATCACAGAAGTAGAACATTGTATAGCCTACATTCTCAGGCAATAAGACAATATAACTATAAATTAAAAATCGAAAAGAAAGCCACCACCCCCAAGAAAAATTCATTGACATAGAAATTCAACAGCATTTATTTCAGAAGAAAGTCTTTATTTCAGAAGAAACCAAAGTTGAATTATAGGTTATTTAGAAATGAGTTACATTGAGAGTAATGGGTATAAAAAATTAGAATGTAGCTGGAACTGGTTTGGCTCAACGGATAGAGCGTCGGCTTGGGGACTGAAGGGACCCGGGTTCGATTCCGATCAAGGGCATGTACCTTGGTTGCGGGTATATCCCCAGTAGGGGGTGTGCAAGAGGCAGCTGATGGATGACTCTCTCTCTCATCGATGTTTCTAGCTCTCTATCTCTCTCCCTTCCTCTCTGTACAAAATCAATAAAATATATATTTTTTTTAAAATTAGAAGGTAACCAAAGCAGCATTTGAATAAAGTATTAAAATTATTAACATTTCTAGTGAAATAAAATAAAAGCAAACTAAGCATTGATCTTAAAATACTACAGAAGAAAAATCAATGAAACAGTTAGGCAAAGAAGGAAAAAACTAAAACATTTAAAAGAATTGAACATGTAAACTACAAATAAGAAAGTTTGATCAATAAAGCCTTAAATGAATTTGAAAATCTAGATGAATCAGATAACATTTCTGACTAAAGTACGTTAGTAAGAAAAGATTATTCTAAAAGAGGTAGAACACGTGAATAATCGACAAAGGAGAAATCTGTTGCTCCCTGCTTTAAAATAAAAATACCGAGTAGAGACAGTTTCACAGGTGGGTTTTATGAAAACATCATAGAACAGATAATTCCTATATGAGAAAGAGGTAGAGTGTGAAGCAGCTCATTGAGAAAGTGTGACTCTGAAGATAAGACCAAATGACGCTAACACACACACAAAGGAGAGAGCTATAGATTAATAGTAGTCAAGCTTATAAACTTTTCAAAATTTAATTTTAGGAGTTAAGTCGAGTCAAAGGGAAAGCCAGTATGATCATCTTGAGAAAAGCTGAGAACAGCACTTAATCAGATTTAACCCTCTTTTTTTTTTTTTTAACATTCTAAAGTCTTTTCCAAGGGGTGCTTTTTGCAGCAGTGTATTATAATACAAAGGCAGTTCTTAAGAAGTAAACAAATGTCTTAAAGCCCTAACTGCAGAACACACATCAACAGATGATAATGTTGGGACTGTTTAACGAAACATCAAGAACCAAAGAGAAAGATCTAATGTGTTGGGTTTTAATGAAAACAAGTTTTATTGATGCCTATGTTTGAAAAGTGATTATAGACACCAACTATTTCACACAATTAGAATGTAATAAAATGTGATGGAGAAAAAAATTAATTTTGGCCTATTAACAACAGTAGGAATGAAGAGCTGTTTGCAGTTGAAGTCACAGAACTCTTATTAATTAGGAGATCATGTGTTTGTGTCAGCCAGATACGCCGTCTCCTAGGTGCAGCTTACAAACTCCATCTCCGACAGTCCCCGTACAGTCAAGATTCACTGTCTCCTCCTCAGCCTTTTGCTCTGTGCTGCCCATTCTAACAGGGATCCAAGGGTGGAATTCCTCTTTACAACTCCAAGCAGTTGCCTGTAGTTTTATTGGATGAAAAGAAGATACCTGAGCCGAAACCGGTTTCGCTCAGTGGATAGAGTGTCGGCCTGCGTGCTGAAAGGTCCCAGGTTCGATTCCGGTCAAGGGCATGTACCTTGGTTTCGGGCACATCCCCAGTAGAGGGTGTGCAAGAGGCAGCTGATTGATGATTCTCATCGATGTTTCTAACTCTCTATCCCTCTCTCTTTCTCTCTGTAAAAAAAAAAAAAAAAAAAATTTAAAAAGAAGATACTTGCAATCCTCTATCTATCCTGCTACTCCCTCCTCTGCCCTCCATGCCAGTCCTGGGACACACGAGTGTGCCTGCCTCTGCAGGGATGCTCTTCCCCAGCCTTCTCCACAGCCCAGCCCTCACTCCTTCAGGTCTTTGTTCAGATATCTGCTTCTCCCCAGGTTTTCACTGCTCCCTCTTCTCCTATGCATCCTCATTCCCCTTTGCTCTGTTCTTTTCTTTCCACTTCCTACCCTCTATTATCTCCCTAGTTTGCGTATGCATATTGTTTGCTGTTTATTTTCCGTCACCCTCCACTGCATTGTAAGGTTTTGTTTTTTTAGGTCAGGGGTCTATGCTTCTTCTCTGTATGGGGTACCCCAGGCTGCTGGAACAGCGGGAGCTCAGTACGGATTTTTGAATGAATGGACTAGAGCTATGACGAGGAAGACTTTTCAGTACTCTGTTTTGATTGGATATGAAGGAGCTAGATAAGGAAGATGGACGGTTAAATTAGAGATACAGCAGTTGAGGTAGAAAGTGGCCCGAGGAGGAACACGTGGCTTGGGAATAGATCTGCTTGTGTGCGATGAAGACCAGGAGAGCTCAAAGTGAGGAGACCGGGATTCTCGCCTTAGGTTTGCCACTGACCTTGGGCGGATCTCTTCTCCTCGGGGCTACAGCCTCTTCATCTACAAAGAGGAGAAGACTGTGAACTAGGTCTAACCCTGCTTTTTGATCCTATGTGGGTTTTACATGAGGAAAGACAGAGCTTATGGTAGCGTACCCTGATACTGCGTGGTACCATCTCCCCAGCCTCCCACCTCCCCACTCCCACCCCCAAGGTCCTGAGGCTACTATGACATGCTTTTGGTTTATTTCAGTCTTTCCTCAATGACCTAATTCATGTTGGTGTACGTTTCTTAAGAAGGTAAATGAGTGAGCTGAGGTATGTACCGATGGCTCCGGAAGCTAGAGCTTTGCTTGGTCGGTTTTTAAGATTGAGGTGCAGCGACAGATCAGTGCATCCTGCTAGAGAAAAGAGAACGCGGGACATTTGCTGGATCTCTGCTGGAGACAGAAACACACCAGATGTCATTTAGGGGAAATTACATGGGAATTTGGCCCGCCGTCCTCCTTACTGGGATTCCACATCACAGAGTCATAGAATCTTAATAAGCTCGTCTCCTCAACCGCCAGAGCACGGAGGCTGAGCGCTTCCGTGCTGCCTGTCGTGGACCCTGTCTCGCCCCTGGAGCAGCCATGATTTGTGTGTGGGTCTGTTTTGTTACTTAAGCGCACACTCTTTTCAGAGAACAGCCCTCAAGACTCCCTCTGACTGCAAGGACCTCTCATTTAGTCAATGCCTGCGTTCAGTGTTCTGATTCTCCAGACCCTGTAGGCGTCTGTCTTCCCTTTGCCTGTCTTCATCTTGGCCAATGCGTTGGACGTTGATCGTTCAACACAAGTGAAAGGGAAGGTGGAGACGGAGGCAGCGTCAGCCTCCCAACCTGGTGTCGGGAGCAGATCTCGGGGGAGATGTCATGGTGGTGAGGGTTTTCACCAGGCTTCTTCCCTCCCGTCCTCCTCTCTGGCTCCTCAGGGCGGCATGTGCTCCTGCGGACAGCACCCCCCCGGCCCCCCCATGCATCCCCCGGCCCATGCTAACCTCTGTGTCTCCCCCCAGCGCCCCGGCCCGCGCTAACCTCTGTGTCTCCCGTCCAGAAGAGAAGCCGGACTGCTCCAAGGCCCGCTGCGAAGTGCAGTTCTCCCCGCGCTGCCCGGAGGACTCCGTCCTGATCGAGGGCTACGCTCCGCCCGGGAAGTGCTGCCCCTTACCCAGCCGCTGCGTGTGCGACCCCGCGGGCTGCCTGCGCAAAGTGTGCCAGCCGGGCTACCTGAACATCCTGGTGTCCAAGGCCTCGGGCAAGCCGGGAGAGTGCTGCGACCTCTACGAGTGCAAGCCAGGTACGCACGTCCCTCCTCCTGCGCAGGGAGATGGCATCGCATCTGCACACCACGGGTCCGCCGCTCTGGGCTCACGGAGCCCGACCTCCTGCCGCCGCCTCTTCAGAGAAGCAGAGAAATGATCCCCTGGTGCCCCATTCCTCCAGGGAGGGACCCTGTCTGTTTCTCTTTTCTTCTTCTTCTCCCCTTTCCGTGTGTGCTTGCTGGGATTAAAATGTATGGTACCTGCTGCTTCATTCCCTCCTCCCCGCAAGAAAAGGTCCGAGCCTTCCTTTGCAGATGTGTCTGTTACTTTTAATGACCACGTTTAAGATAACCACCATCTAACCACCATCCATAAAACAGGAAGCTGTTGTTAGGGACACACATGCATCAGAATGCCAGGCGTTCCGTAACCAGGTGCTCAGCCCCGATCTCTCTTGCCCGCTGCCCGCCTCCCTCTGTAGGCTCCAGTGGCAAGTGCTAAGTCATCCTCGGCTGTTCGCTCCCCTTCTTGGCCACGTGCGATCCGCCGTGGTGCCCCGGCTGTTTCTCGCTTTTGGGTCATTTCTAACTCCCTTGGTCTTCCGGCAGTGTGTCTGGCCTGGCCTGTGAACAGGTCCAGGCTGCCGTGATTTCCTCTTTACAAGTCTCTCTAAGCATTCGTCAGACTTCTTTCATCTGCTGGGTAAATGCTTCGGGCGAAACAGCCCTCTGTGCATCTCTTGAACTGTTTCATTAGAAGCGCATCTACCGGCGTAACCACCATTGGCTTACTGCCCTCTCTGCGTCTTCCTCCCAACTCTGCCGTGTCTTGTCCCCCGCTCTCCGTGGGCGAAGACCCGGGACGCGTTGCCATTCTCGGACGTTGAGTGGAACGAACAAGCCCGTGTCAGGACAGGCTTCTGGGAAGCGAGGCCGCTGCAGAGACGTGTCCCGAGCCAGGGTTTCATGCGGGGACTCGGTCAAAATGCCAGTACATGTCTCAGTAAACGGTGCCTCTGTCTGCCCCTTCCAGTGTTCAGCGTGGACTGCAGCACTGTGGAGTGCCCCTCCGTTCAGCAGGCCGTGTGCCCCCTGGATAGCTACGAAACTCAAGTCAGACTCACGGCGGACGGTTGCTGCACGCTGCCCACAAGGTTGGTCTGTCCTCGGCTTACGAGCCTCCTCCTGTCTTGTGTGTGAGCATCCTGGGAGGCTCAGTTCCCAGCATGCAGTGTGTTCTCCCCAGCCAGGAGGGACACCCGGTCTTCTCCCGCTTCTGCGGAGAAATCACTGAGCCGTTGCAGCAGCTTGGCGTTGACCGGTGTGGTTCCTCGGATCCAAGCCAGGTGTTAGCCAGGGGCAGTCAGGAGTCCTCACAGATCCTTCATGCCGGGGTGCCGGGCACTTCCGCAGGCCGGGAGCTGTCCAGGCAGACATGCCCCCTCGGGAGGTAGCCGGGGAGGCAGTGAGGAGGCCATCCACAGCTGGCATGTCATTCCATCCTCTGCAGTGACTCTTACAGGAGCTTAACCATGGTGACCAATAGGATGAAACCTTACATCTTGGAGTCCCTTCCCTCCACCCCCCCCCAAAGATTCTTCAAACATTTGTAATCACATCTACCAGACCCAGTGCTTGCAGAGGCAGAGAGGAGGCTATGTTTTGCAGTATTTCCTGGAGTAAGAGACACATCTCTCTCTCTCTCTGGCTTGATGGGGAGGGAGAGGGGCAGGCCTTCTGGTCGTAGCAGCAGGACATCCACTTAGCCTGTAGGATCGGCTCCTCCCCGAGCGTGAAGGGCCGCAGGTCTGTTCTGAGGGGCTTCCTGGCACCACCGTAGCGCTGTCCCTTGGGCTGGGCTTTTGGGGAAGACCCTGCTTGGAAACAGAGGCCTCACATCCCGCTTCTCCTCCTAAGAGGCTCTCTCTTCCTCTGCCATGACCTTCCCCAGGCCACTCCGGCGTCATTTAGACTTAAGTCAGCTCATTCCTTCCCACTTCTGCTCTAGTTTACTATCCAGACTCTGCCTCCTCTCCCTCCGTCTCCCTCAGTCCCAGGCCAGGCACTCAGCACCTGTGCTTGTTGCGTGAATAGTTTGTGCTTATGCCTCTGGGAACATCTCTGGTCCTTAGTGAAGGTGAGTACCCGTTACTTGTCCGTAACTGGAGTAGACGTTTCAGACCGTTCTGGCAATAACTTCTTCCTTCTTGTCTTAAAATACATGATACCGCCTCACCTTTGTCCTGTCCGAGTCCCTGGGATTCTCTCCGACGTATTTGACATGACTTCCCTGTTGTTGTTTTTTTTTTTACACTACATCATAAAACAGATACAAAGGCTCCTGTGAAGGTGACATACTAGTGCCACAGCCCTTCTTACGCCACCGTGGTAGGAGAATCTGCGTGCAGGTGCTCGGAAAAGGGTGGAGCATCCTGCAAACATAGGGCATCACTAATCCGTAAAGGAAGAGAGTGGAGCATCGCTGAAAGCAACAGATGTCCCTCCAAGGTCTTTATGAACAGGGAAGGGGCAGGGTGTGTTAGAGAACCCAGTTAATCGGAGCAGAGACAGGCGTTAGCGAACAAGCCCCCCCCCGGGGAGGAGAAGGGACGGCGCTCGCTCACTGTGATCAGGTGAGGCAGGACCATCTGCGAGGAGGAAGCACAGCAGGGGCTCGGCTAGGAAGACCTCTGTGATCTCATTGAAGAAGAAACGTTTGCTCACAGTAATGAACTGGGCTGCTTCCTGAGCTAGACGGAGCTCCCCGGAGCTGGAGACGTTTGTTTCTGTCTGCATGGCCACCGGCCAGGAAGGCCTAGGAATGTGGTGTCGGAAAGGAGGTTCAGCTAGATGCCATCCGTCTTTCTCCCCAAGCTTCCGTGGGCCCGGTAAACATAAACCTCAGGATGGTTACTGTTGTAGGGACATGGTTTGTGACTTTGCTTTTGGAGCCCAGGCGTGCTCAGGGGAAGGTGCCGCTGATGCCGGAATGGGGGACACGGACAAGGAAGTCACGCGGGGCCCCGCTGTAAATGATTTGCAGGGAAGGGGTGCGTTCTCACAGCTCTTCAGTTTCCTGTGCTTCAGGTAGTCAGTGACCCCTGCTCACCTCCCCACCACCCCCTTCTCCACACGCATCCTGTGTTCCCCTCTGACACGGCCCCTCCCCAAGGGCTCTCACGCTCCCTGCCTTTGGCGTTTGCACCTGACTCCTCTCCGCCTTCCCCAGCTTTCCCTCCTCCTCCGGGATGGCAGTTCCCTCTCTTCAAAGTGTTTGCAGTCTTCAGCAGGTGTGCCTCCTCTGCTCCCTTTTAACTTAATTCCCGTGCATCTCTTTGTCATAGCACTTTAATAAGACATAACATCATTGAATCTTTTTGTCAGCTTTTTTTTTCCTACTCTGTGTGATTCTCAAGGGAAGAGACTATCTTAGAGCCTCTACCACCTGGAATAGGATTTGATGAATACCAACCTACATTTATTGATGAATGAATAAATAAATGAATGAATGAATGAATGAACGAACAAATGCCCCCACTCTTAGGCATAATAACTTACATGTTGAAGAAGATGAAAAGTATCTTCCTGCCTTGGCTCACATTAAAACCCTTGCAGTTTTTCCCCAACCCCCTTCTTAACGGCCCAGTTCTCAGTACTTTATAAACTGTCCATTGCAAACACCACGCTCACCTTTCAAAGCACAGGGTTCCTTTATCTCTCCCTTCCACCTTTCCTGATGTTGTTCATCCTGTAGGACTCCAATTAAGTCCCACTTTGCCCACAAAGGTCTTCATGCTTCAGCCAACCCCCGCCCCGTAGGAACTCCCAAAATAGACCCGCCCGTGTTGCAGTTCATCTTATACTTCCTTGCATTGTTCTGGGTGTTACATGCATTCAGTCTTGTCTCACCAACAGAAGGATGTTTCTAAGGTCAGAAATTGTGTCTTTCTTTTCCTTTGTGCATGCAATAAATACTGAATAATTGCTAAGCACAGAATCTGTTCAGACTGTGGCTTAACCTAGTTTAGCATATTACGTAGGTTTACTCCTTACGAGGGAGGACAATAGACAAGCCATACCTTGACAAGAGAATAAAAACCAAACAATCATGTGGAAATGGAAATAGAAAGAAGAGAGCCTAGTAGGTAGTAATGGTGGTAGTATTTTAAGAGAAAAACCAACAAACAAACAAACAAAAAAACAGGATGTAACTTTGTTCCTATGTATGAACCATGTTCAAAATTTGCTCTCATAAGCATGTAAAATCCTATTATGATTGTTTAACCTTCACCAGCATAATTGGAAAGAGCATTGTTAAGAACTTAGAGGCATCCTAGATAAAACTGATTGGAGCATTCAGAGTGGCAAGTCCTGTGCAGTTAGGACAAAGGCAGATGAAATATCAGAGTTTGGCAGTAGAGACTCATCTTAGGTGAAAGTAAGCACCCTTTTGTAAGGATTTATTATGCCTTCCAGAGACTACAAAAGGAATTCGTAGGCTTTCTCCCGCCTTATCTTAAAAAATAAACCCCTCCCTCCTTCATTTCCATCCGAATGGAATTGCCATTCCCAGGGAGACTATATCACCTGCTGTTTAAGGATGGATGCTCCCTCAGTTTGTTAATGCTGTTAGAGTTGTCTGTTTTCAGTTCAGTCAGTCGCTCAGTTACTCATTCATGAGTTGAGTCCTCAGACGTGACAAGACACTGATGTGCTTTTCAGTCTGCAGGCCAACGCTCTATCCACTGAGCAAAACCGGTTTCGGCTTGAGCGTATCCCCTTCCGAATCTATCCCTGACCACTCTGGTCCTCTCCCCCCCCCCCCCCCCCCCCCGCCCTTTCTAAGCACAGGTTATGCCTTCATTCCTTGCTGCATCTCTTCTTTTCCTTAATGGCCCGTCATCCTGTGTTTCATCCTGTTCAGACATCATTCTTATGTGATATAATTAGCTTTTAACCATTTTTAGTCCTTCCCTCCCTCGGCTTGGTTTAGGTTTCCAGGCCGCCTGCCAATTCTTTTCATTCTTTTCTCTTCTCTTGGCACTGGACTGTGATGGGAGCTCTGTGGCCGAGGGAAGGAGTGCGCTGGGCCTTCCATTGGGCCTGAGCACTGCACGATGACAAGGGGAAATGGGACGGTCCATGGGGCTCATGGCACTTTATAGTCTTTGGAAGGCCTTTTGTCCGTGTGCGACAGGGTAGTCACTCTGATCCCAGTGGCATCTTTGCAGGGAAGGAAAAGCAAAACATTTTGTAAGTAGCACGTAGGTAGCTTAACTGTGCACTGCGCCCTGCTGTTTACAGGGCACTCACTTTGGTTATTCTCATTTTATTGTCATCTGGCTCCGTGAGGAACTTACGGACATGAAAGCGGGTTGAGAAATACGTGACCTGTGCAGAATCACAAACGTTCTCTGGCGCAAGGGACAGAGCAGGCCCAAGTCTTGAGCCCAGATTCTTTGATTCAAAGGCCTGTGCTCTATCTGCAGCTTTTTTGATAAGTGTGTATGAATGTGTGTGCGAGAGAGAGAGAGAGAGAGAGAGAGAGAGAGAGAGAGTGAGTTAAGTCAAAGAACTATATCAATGAATATGAATTCAGATCTCATCAACATACTTATTTATATCAGCATAGTACATATTAACACGATGTACGTATGCTTCAGTTACTCATTGCTGTGTAACAAGCAACCTCCAAATGTAATAGCTTAAAGCAGTGGTCGGCAAACTCATTAGACAACAGAGCCAAATATCAACAGTACAACGATTGAAATTTCTTTTGAAAGCCAAATCTTTTAAACTTAAACTATATAGGTAGGTACATTGTTATTAACTTAATTAGGCTACTCCTAAGCTGAGCTGGCCTTTGCTAAAAACTCAAAGGGCCAAAGAGCCGCATGTGGCTCGCGAGCTGCAGTTTGCCGACCCCTGGTTATGATGTCACTCACATGTCTGGGAACTCAGCTGGGATGGCTGGGAGGCCTTGTCACCTGAAGGCAGAATTGAGAGGACGTAGCAAAGCCGTAAGAGACCTCTTCGAAGTCACACGGCACCACCCCCACCACTTTCTGTTGGTCAGAGCAAGGCACCAGGAGAGCCCGGTTCCAGGAGCAGACAGTAGATTCCACAGGAGAAAGGGCAAAGAATGTGTGGCCAT